TGTTTAAAAATGCAATGTAAAAAAAGGAGTAGAGACGAAAAACACAAAATGTATATTAAGCAGTTGTTTTCTTTGTTAATTACTAAAGGTATCGTGTTCAATTGTTTGTTTGTTTTGGCAACAACAACAAGAGAAATTAAAAACAGTTTCAACTTTTACAATATGAAACAGAAAAATTTATGTTTTTTTTGAAATAGAAAACTAGTTGAACAGACAGCTACGAGTAGGTTTTATTTTTGAATTAAAAAATCATCAATTCGATTTCTGTCGAGCTCTTACCTCTCTTTCTTATGCTTCTTAGACTTTTTCTTCTTATCCTTGCGGCGCTCCGGACTAGAAGAACTGCAAGAGCAAGTGTGATTTAGTTAGATAAACATTTTTGATGATTGATTTGAATTAGTTGGGGTTACCTCTCCCTGGCGCGTTTCTTTTTCTTCTTTTTGTCCGATCTGGACACATGGTCGCGCTCATCTCCACTGGCGGCCGCCGCATCTGACTTGCCAGCTCCATCGTCGCGCTCGCGTGAGGGCGTACGCAGCAGCGCATATCGCTTGCCTGTCTCCTTGTCCTTGCCAGCTGCTGCTGCAGCTGCGGCGCCCGTTGAAGCCGCTGCTGCTGCTGCCGCAAGGCTTTCGCGCTGCGCGTCCAGCTCCTTTTGCAGGGCCACCGTCTTGGCCAGGTCCTCCTTAGCCTTGCGATCGCAATCAAAGCTGCTGCCCTCCACAAAGTACTCGGATATGTTGAATGCCTCGCGCAATTTGGCGTTCTTCTGCTGCTGTGCCTCGGCAATTTGATGGGTCTCACGCACGCTGCAATAGAAATGGAAGGATGCCATTAGATGGGAGGATTACATATATATATATAAATATACAAGCCATATCGTATCATTAACTATACTCCTATATAAGCCCTTCTCTCAGCCCATTTGTTTACCTGGCCGCCGCTGCGCTGCCAGCGCCCAGCAGCAGCGTTTGCAGCCACGTGCTAGACGAGTGCTTGAGCAGCTCGAGCAGCGCCGGCAGCGCCTGTCCACCCGTCCCGTTTACATTCTCCAGCTGGCGACCTTCTCGTTCCCGGTGCGCCAGCACAGCTGTTCGCTCCGCTGGGCATTGCGTCAATTGCGTCGCTTGCGTATTCTGGCAGACGCAGGCGCAGTCGCTGTGCGGCTTCTTTGGCTGTGCTGTGCGCCTGTTCTTCTTGGCGCCGCTTGCCAAAACCGGCCGCAATGGCTTGAACTTCTTGGCCACGGCAGCATAGTTAAGTGCCGCCGCCGATGTCGCCTGTGCCGTGAACTGGAAACTCTCGTATTTGGCTATATACTCGCGATTGTCATGCTGGAAGTATTGCGCCTTGCATTTCCTGCCGCCGACTGTGCCAGACACACACCCCACAATCGCATTGGGGTTGTTGTTGTTGTTGCTGCTGCTGATGTTGTTGTTGTTGCCACAGCCGGTTGCGTGTCCTGCGCGTTTACGACGCTTACGCCGCTTCTTTGCCTTGACGACCTGCAGCGTGGCGAAGGCTCTCGTCGTGCTCCTCGCCTCCGAGTTGGACGCGGAGGTCGAGGTGGCTGTGGCCATTGCGGTGGCCGTTGCCGTTGCCGTTGCCGTTGCCGTTGCAGTGGTTGTTGTGGTGTTTGTGTAGATTTCCGAGGAGAGCATTTTGGAGAGTTCTCACCCCTTTCAGTTGGGGGTTGTTTATTTTTTATTTATTTTCTGTTTTTTTGGTTATTTTAATGTAGAGCGCGTTTATATTTAAATTTATTTTTTATTTTTTATAATTTTTATTCTGTTGCATTTTAGTTTGTTTAGTTTCCACATTTGTTTTAGGAAGACCGTGGATTATATAATACTATTATTATTATATTATATTATTATTATTATATATTACTAATATTATATTATTATTTTTATTTATCTTTTTTTATAAAAAAAAAATATTAATTTTTTTTCCATTATTTGTACAGGAAGACAATGGATTTATTAATATATTTTGTTTTATTATTTTTATTGATTTTTTCCCCTATTTATTAAAGTTTTTTATTTATAATATATATTGATATTTTTTTGTTGGAAGACCGCAGACTTATTTTTTATATATTTGGAAGAGTTATTTTCATATTATAAAATTATAATTTTGCATATATTTGTTGTATATATAACTTGTAAAAATTTGTGTATATAATTTACGTTCAATATTTTATTTTTATATTTTTATTTGGTTATAGACACGTTTGTGGATATATTATTTATAAATTGTATTAATATAAAAATAAATTTATTTGTAGCATTATATTTAACACTTTGGAAGACGTTGGATTAGCATTTGCTTGAAACTTTCGCTACATTTGCGCTCTTATAAATTTGTTTACTTTGTTATTTGTATCCAGCATTTGGAAGACGTTGGATTTTCCATATAATATTATATAGATTTTGGATTTTTAACTAGATATTTTACTCGTATTACTCCGCCTGGGCAAACGATTAGCGCCGACTTCATTTAAAGACTAAATACTAATTGCTAACTACGTGCTAAGTTTGGAAGACTTATTTAGTGATTTGTTGCTTTTGGTTTGGGTATTTGGGTCTTTGGGTGCCGGAGCTCACATTACAGTTTGGTATGATGGGAGAGCTCAATGCTCCAAACAACAACAGCAACCACTAGAATAAAGACAACGACGACGACGGCGACGGCGACTTGATAGCTGTTAAGCTCTTGTGGATTGGATGAGCTGGTAGCCACCAGCAGCAGCAGCAGCAGCGTTGCCTGTCCATGGCTATGGGCTTAGCTGCACACTTGAGGGGCTGCGCATCGGACATTGGCGTATCGATTGCATTTGCGCTTAGCCGCATTTTCCTCAATTCGTTTTTTTGTATGTGCCAAATATTGATTTTTCCAGCGCTGCAGCAGCAGCAACATTTTCCAATGTTTTCATGTTTCCTGCCGGCGTCTTTTGTTGTTGTTGCACTAAACTTAGGTTTTATTTTACTTTACTACTTATTATTGCTTTTAAATACTAGTAGTTATTATAGTTATATATTTTTTTTATTTATGTATTTCCTGAGCGCGTTTGCCAAACATTTGGCTTTGGAAGACTTGAAGTGACTGCCGAAAATATAAATTTCATCTCGGCAGCAGCATTTTCTCTACAACTGGCTGCGCTCTGATTGGCGCCTGGACCAGCGGGTGGGTTGTTTGGTTTGTTGTTCTTGCGCATGTGGGCTTTGGCCCACTGAGCCAGCTGGCTGAGATTTGAGTTGAGTTGGACACGCGACCGGGAAGGCAACTGAGTTGAAGGCTTTATTGATTTGTCCAGTGGGTGTGTGTGAGCGCGGCACACAATGTTTTATTTAAATTACATAACTAACTATACTTAAGCTATCATTGAACATCAATTGAGAGCTACTCACGCTACGCGTCCAAATTCATCCTTGGCTATATCGGTTTTGCCTTGGCCCATTAATTTCTGGCGATATGAATCCACTTGCGACTTTATCTCCTCCGGTGTGCGTCTGCCAATAAACAACGAAATAATACAAATTTAATTTCACTTAATTTTAGTTTAATTCATATATGTGTTACTAAAATACCTTTAAGACTTAAGCATGGATTCAAATTTCATTTATTTCACAGTTTAGCTCTAATTTGAATTATTGATTATTAGCCCGTTCTATATTGTTTATAAATATAATTTTAACGATTTTTGTAGTATTTCATGGAGTTTTCCGCTTTATTGTTGAACGCGGATGTGCTCTATTGAAACAATCTCTACAACTGAAATGCAGTTTTTCCACCACCAGCCACGAGTAGGGCCAGACCAGGCTCAGCCTGGGCCGCTATATATGTATGTGCGGCCAATGGAAGAGCGCCAAACTAGAGATGGACTTGTCATAAAACTTATTACGAAATGTGACGGAAGTGGAAGTCAATTTCATATATAGACCAATGCAGGAATTATCAGTTCAACATATTAAGGCGCATCGAGGGTATTCAATCAAACAGAAATCCTAATATTTTGTTTCTTTAAACTGATTTTCATTCAATATTATTAACTCCCTGTGTAAAGTTGTCTAGTTAATTTTCGTGTCACGCTGAAAAGCACGACAAGTGCTCAACTTTCTGTCAGAGCAAAGCTGAGAGGGTGGATGGGCTGTCAAGGAGCAGAGGCAGTGCTTTTTACGGTGGTGGTGATGGTGGTTGCTGCCATTTACCACTACTGAGCGCGTATGCGTGCGTGCGCTCTCTCTCACAGCTACCAGGCGCCGAATGTAAACAGCAGCAGCAGTAGCAGGCGGCTGACAGCGGGGAACGAACGTAAATATTAGCGCATTGGGAGAGAAATGCATGTTGGACCGAATGTGCACAGTGTTGGCCACCGGTGTTATATAACGTCATGTATTGCATTACGCATGCAGGAGTCAACTGCTAGAACTGACTGACTGTGGCAGTGTCTCATTTAACATTACTTCACATATGTATGTATGCGTACTTACCCTTGCTTCTCGAGTATTTCCTCGAATTCAATGCACTTCACTTCGATTTTTCGCTTGCGATCGTGGTCAAGTATCTCCTTGTTAGGTGGCCGATTCAGTTGGGCGTCTAGTTTTTTGGTGTCATCCTCGGCACGATAGTCCTTGTCCTTTTTGCCCGGTCGCACAAATGCCCAATTGCGCTGCACATGTCCATTGGTGCCGGAGCCACGCGGCGTTGTTAATCCAATGCCGTTGTACATGTTGTACCGGCTGTTCGCTCGCTATGTATAATTTATTTAAACGTTTACTTTTCCGTATGCATTAGCGTTTGGAACGGCGCAGCTGCTCCGCCAAATGTGCAGTTTGCAAACACAAGAAAAATCGATTTTGTCTACCAGGCGACGCCGCTTCCGATGCAACTCTAACTATCGATATATTTGCAAATTTGCGATACCCTATCGATGTTGTAGAAAGCGATTTAGCATTGTAAACAAATAAACAACTTGGTTTATTTTAGGTTGAAAGCTGATATTTTTACAATTTAAAACATGCAAACTGACGATAAAGACAAAAATGAAGCTGTAGAGGAGCCTACCAAAGTGGTATTCAAGAAAAAACCCCGCAAAAATCTGCGACAGCGCAAAAACTCTGATGATGGCGATAATGACGAACAGTAAATATATTCGTATACAATATTATAAATAAACATATATATTAATGTCTGCTTAAAAAAGGCTCACGCTGGATGAAATCAAGGAGCGACAACGACTACGTCAACGCCCCAATGGCGTTAGCTTAGTGGGTCTAGCGTTGGGCAAGAAAGTGGCGCCGGAGGAGGAGCTGGTCATCAAGGATCCGTTTAATGTGAAAATTGGTGGACTGGTCAACATGCAAACAATAAAATCGGGCAAGATGAAGGAAGTTGATGATGCCTATGACGTGGGCATTGGCACACAGTTCTCAGCTGAGACAAACAAGCGCGACGAGGACGAGGAAATGATGAAATACATTGAGCAAGAACTGCAAAAGCGCAAAGGCGGTGCGGCAGATGAAAATTCCAATGATCATGACGACCGCGATGCCCACAAATATATGTCACCCGAAGATGCGGCACTTTACGCTCTACCCGAACATCTGCGACAATCCTCCTCGCACAGATCTGAAGAAATGTTGTCCAACCAGATGCTCAATGGCATACCCGAGGTAGACCTTGGCATCCAGGCCAAGATACACAACATTGAGGCAACGGAGGAAGCTAAGCAAAAACTGCTACAGGAGGCTAAGAACAAAAAGGATGGGCCCTCGCAGTTTGTGCCCACCAACATGGCTGTCAACTTTATGCAACACAACCGCTGTAAGTTGCTCCTGGAAATTTCATTTAAATATACTATATTTGTATTTTTTTATCTCCAGTTAACATTGAGGACAGCAGTGAACGCAGGCGCAAGCGTGAGAATAAGGAAGCCGACAACAAATCCGTCAAGAATCAAACCAATCCCAACGGAGTCAAGCGTGCGACAGACGACTATCATTATGACAAGTTTAGAAAACAATTTCGTAGATATTGAAATAAAGTACAAAGGCTTGTTTATATTTATATAGTTTATTTAATATGCCACTTCAATTTGTAATCATAAAGTAATTGTTTAATTCCATGTCCATGTGCTGTAAATAAAGAAATAAAACTTTTATTAATTAATTGAGTTAAAACAATTTTAATCAAATAATTAGAACAAATTAATTCAGTTGAGAAATTTGATTTCAATGCAACGAATGACTGAAGCTCAATGAGATTCCTACTCAAAATATCATCAAAATATATTTATAATCTATATGTAGAATTTATTATATACACACCTTATATAGTAATAGTAATAACCGCTCGTCAGCCAATCCACATTTAACTGCAATAGAAAAAATATCTTAATTATTAATTAACTCAGTTTTATAAAAATTTCATAAGTATCAACATTTTTACTGTGTTCAGTTGAGAAATTTAATTTCATTGCAACGAATGACTGAAGCTCAATGAGATTCCTACTCAAATATCATCATCTAAAGGAATCAAAGTAAATTATAATTATCTACTTATACACACCTTATCAACAATTTAATCGAACATGCCGCAACAAAGCTGAAATGAAACGAGAAATCCGAGAAAAATTAGTTGCAAATTTAAAGTTATTGATTGTTTATAACTTACCTTTGACGAAAAATGTAATTGCTTCTGAAACAAACTGCAAAAAATTTAAAATATACTGAAACAAATATTCAATTATTATCTGCTGAAATATTTAGAAATCAAATGTGTTTTTTTTTTATTTTTTGTTGTTTTTATTATACCCAGACACAACATTGAAACGTTCATCCTCGCTCTGTCTCTTAGTTATTATGTTTTTAATAGAATGAAAAATCTATTGTGAAAGTGTAAAACGCGATGCACGTTCCCCTTTGTTTGCTTGTTTATATGATGCCGATCTTGTTGGCAATATCCAGAGCATCGTAGTCACGCGCCAGGCGCACATAAGCCTTCTTCTGACCATCGGGCCGGATCAGAATGTTAACCTTAGCCACCTTAATGTCGTAGAGCTTGCGCACTGCGGCACGCACGTGGTTCTTGTTGGCGCGCAGATGTGTGAGGAAGACCAGAGTGTTGTTGTCCTCGATCTTCTTCATCGCTGCTTCCGTGGTCAACGGATATTTGATGATGTTGTAAGCATCCATGCGATTCCTGGTGGGCACCGATTTCCTTGGATATTTAGGATTGCGTGGCAGCTTCAACGTTGTGGGACGACGGAAGTGCACATTGGTGCGAATCTTGCGAGTGCGTGTGCCGAAGGCGCCCTTGATGATCTGTAGAGGAATCGCTTTAGTATGCTTGTTTGAGAAGTAAGCTATTTGATTACGCTTACCTTGGTCTGAACCTTCTTGGCAGTTTGCAAGGCAACAGCCTTAGCCTTGGCAGTGCCCTTAGCGGGCTTAGCGCCAGCCTTGCCAACGGGCTTCTTGCCCTTGGAAGCAGCACGTGCCTTGGCGGAGAGCTTGGCCAGCACAGATTGGGGCTTCTTGCCAGCGGCCACTTTCTTCTTCAGATCCTTAGCCTTTGGCTTGGTGACTGGCTTCTTCAGGGCGGGCTTCTTAGCAGCGCCAGCAGCTGGCTTCTTAGCAGCAGCATTTGCGGGCTTCTTAGCGGGCGCAGCTGCCTTTTTGCTCGCAGCTGGCTTGGCTGCAGATCCTGCTTCCTTCTTGGCACCAGCAGGTGCAGCCGCAGCGGCCTTCTTCTGCTCTGGCTTCTTATCGCCAGGCTTTGCTATAATTATAAATCAACAATATATTAGCACTAGTAAACAGAAGTTCAAAAAGTTGGGTTAAGCACGAACACACAACGCTAAAGCAAGTGGGCACAATAATTTTACTAACAAATGCACACAAATAAAAAATCTGATAACTAAATCAGTCAAATTTAGCACTTGTCATCTTTTTGCACAGTGTTTTCAATGGCGAGTCGCGGCCACACCGCACGTGGCGCAAATATGGCGACACATTTTGTGTATATTTTGCATTAAATTTGTAATTAAACACATTTCCGCATGCTGCATTACATTGTGCTTGCTTTGGCTTTGAATTAGGTGACAAAACCACATATTTTCGATATATTTTTATATGAAAAATCCTTACCGGATTTCTCGGTTGGCTTTTTAGGTGGCATTTCTACGAGAAAAAGAAATGAAAAGGAAAACTAAGGGGCATTTGACAAAGCAGCGGAAGCAGTTTTTGACAGTAGTGTGGCCAGATGGGTGGCAAGTGGCAACGCTCAAAAGATAAGTGTGTTAAATGGCAGCGCCAGCGAGCGTGCTTTTAAAACTATGTGGCATCATGATGGCAACACTGTACACACATTAAAGTAAGTGGCAGCGCTATTTATTATTTCAAATTTTAAAACGGTTTTATTATAATTTTCTACGAATATTTGTGTAAAAGCTTGTTTATTGTAGTTAAATAAAATTAGTGCAAGTTTGTTAGCAGGCACAGCCACTTTTTTGTTTGTCAGAGCGACTACCAAAGAAATTACGTAAATCTGTAAATTATAAATAGAAAGAAATTACTAAAATTCAGTTATTAATCCAGTTTTCATTACCAAATTTGTGCGACTTTTCCTGTGTTTGTGTTGTCTGCTCCGTTGCTGTGGCTTGCAGTGCTTTCAATTGTTGCTGCACGGCTGCTTCGAAAGCCAAAGCAGCCAAACGTTGAAAGAACTCTGTGATTTTGTAACCAGAACGCGCCGATACGGACCAAAATTCCGCCTTCAGATCCGCAGCGGCGACTCCTGCGATGCGCTCCATTCTCATGAACTCTTCTTTGGTCTGAAGTGGAACACACTATAAGGTTAAAGCTGCATAATATGTACTTGAGCTTACCAATAGATCTGCCTTTGTGCCCACCAGAAATACCAAAGGTTTCTGTGCCGTGTTGTAATTCAGAGCGCTCGATAGCCATTTCTTAGCTGCCTCCAGTGATTCTCGCTTGGACATGTCATAGGCGGCTACAATAACTGGAGGAGAGGTAATATATATAGGTGGAATGTAAATATAACTGGACCTACCACTGGCATTGCGATAGTAGGCGCCCGCAATGCACTTGAAACGCTCCTGACCAGCCGTGTCCCACCTGCAGGAAAAGCGGAATTTGTATAAGAGTTGACGCACTTGCTCCACTTACATTTCCAGGCTGAAATTGTGACCCAGTATGCTAAAGTTCTCCAGCTCGAAGTCAACGCCAATTGTGGCTTTATAGTTGGACTGAAATTTATCATAGCAGAAACTGGAAAAGAAGAAGAGTTTAAAGAAAAATTATTCACAGTAGAAATATAGTTGCTTGTTCACCCACCGATTCACCATGGCCGTTTTGCCCACAGCGCAGTCGCCCACAAAGATGACCTTGCAGGGCCTCAGCTTCGGTTTAATAGGCAGCTCCAGCTGGTAGCGCAGCTGTGGTGCGAAGTCCTTCTCCCGGCTGTACGGCGTCTGGGCGGGGCTGTAGGCGGGCGGCAGGCGGCGCAGGTGCGTGCGTGGGTCGTGCAGCGTCACAGTTGGCAGCAGCAGATTCTGGCGCAGCGTATGAGACATCATGAACGTTGCGTTGTCAACTGAAAGCGAGACGAGCTCAGGCCGAAAGCTGAAGCGGAATGAATGAAAACAAAATTAAGCCACAAAAACCGCAGGCCGAGGCTTGAACTTGGCGGCTATCAGGCGGCTCAAGGTGTGCTGCGACTTTATATGCAAATGTCTGTGATAGCAAAGCCCTCGAAACGGGGCTACGAGCGATAAAGAAGTGGCGCAGGTGACCCAAAGCTTGGCCGACGGATTTTCCCAGTAATTGTTTTGACTCCGATTTGTATGGAGCAAGCCGGAGAGGGAATGGGCTATTTTTATAGCAATAGCTCACTCATGGGATATACGATAGTATATGGAAGAAATTACTTTAATTATTACTGAAATGCTTTTCACATATATTATAATGCCAATCTATTCGATCTCAATTTCATTGATCCGATGTGTGCTTGCCTCCGTTGGGATAATGAAAGGGGCCCACGCTCTTGACCTTCTGCAGCAGCTCCGGGTCCAGCTCCAGAGCCTTGTACAGCGCGCGCTTCAGCTGCTTGTACTGGAAGTGTGGCGGGAAGGGCATATCCTCGAAGGCGAGCATGAGCAGGTTGCCCGCCTCGTTGCCCGCGGCCAGGCAGCGACCACAGTGCGAGAAGCTGGAAAAGAAACCACATGAGGATTAAGAAAGGGTGCGAAATGGACTTAGCCAGAGCCAACCAGAAGGTGGTGTAGTGAATCTTGGCGTCTATCGTCGTGGAGGAGACGGGCTTCAGCGTGCTGTTGCGCAGATCCCAAATGTCGATGGTGCCATGGCTGAGCGAGACCAAAATCGTGGAGTGGGTGCGGCTCCAGCGGGCGCAGTGCACCGGCGACAAGTGATGCTGGAGCGTGATCAATGGCAGCAGGATGCCAGCCATCCAGATGCGAATGCACCTGAAAGGGATTAGGAGTAGCATTAAGATTCCATTGAGGTATTTCCACACAAGCTGCTCACCAGTCGCTGCCGCAGGTCAGGTAAAGCTTGGGCGACCAGGGTGAGAAGTCCATGCAGACGGCGGCTGTTTCGTGCACCTGCCGCAGCTCCAGGTGCTGCAGCGGATAGTTGGTGGAGCACTTGTACATGGTGCCCTCGTCGGTGAGCACATAGTAGAGATCGCTCTGCAGTGGATCCAGGACGAGCTCCAGGCACTGGACATACCGGTTGGCGAGCAGCGGCACACGATGCGGCGGCTGGGTGACGCTGATCCCCTCCAGCTCGGCCTCGGCACGCTGGAAATGCTGCTGCTCAAAGCCCAGCAGATGTGGGCTAGTGATCAGCTGATACTTGATCACAGCGCCCGACTGCGAGGCAGCGAGGAAGGGCGTTATGTCCTGCTCGGCAAGGACATCATTATCGCTGCGCGGAATCCACTTGATGGCCGTCACCGGATCAAAGTGGGGCGAGGTGGCGCGCTGCGATCGCGCCAGAGCTGGCTGATCCGGCTGTGAGATGTCACGAACCTCCACGTCGCCATTGTGCAGGCCAATGGCCAGCAGCTGGGGTGATCCGGGCGAGAATTGGACCACCACCACGGGCACTGGATAGTTGTAGCAGCGTTCCGGATTCACGGGATTCTTGATGTTCCACACATAGACATAGCCCCGGCGAGGCTTCCTGCCCAGCCTCGCATAGGTGTAGATGCCGTAGGAGACGGCCATAATGTCTCCATTGCTGGGACAGAAGCAGACGGACGTGACTGCCTGCTGCTCCCTGGCCGCTGGAGAGGGCGAGCTCAACTTCCAAAGCAAATGTAGGCGATACTTGAACTTCACGTCCTCGGCGAGCGGATCGGGTGGCTGCATATTGCGAAATCGTCGCTGCTGCGGCTCAAACACATTGCTCGCCAGGATGCGCATGGTGAGCATCAGTGCCAAGCGGAAGCTGGGCAGCTGGTTGATCTCCACGAATTGATCCACGCCTCCGAGGCGATAGGTGGTCACCTCCATCTGCTGGGCGCCCTCTATGGTCACACTCTTAGTGGATGCCTCCAGGTCCTTGTACGTATCGAACATCTCAAAGTTCGAAACGTACGAGCCCACCTGATCCGTGCGCAGGCGCTCCGTGTTGACCAAGCGGGATTTCAGAAGTGGTTCGATGGTTTGCGTATCCGCATCGACGGTTCTTCGCGATTTGTCGGTGCCCGCCAGCAGCTCTTCGTAGAGCTGGTTATCCACCTGAACTTTTCGACCCTCCTCGGTGTCCAGCTCCGCTGTCAAGCTGGGCCGCTCGAAGAGCACCACCAGCGGCGTCTTTCGCAACAGCACTTTGATAAAGGGCGTGGCCGCCTTGGCAGATTTCCTTGGCGGACGTCCAAAGGTTACGCTTTCCGCTTTGGACGTCTTCCTTTCCACGCCCAACTGCAGCTTATACATATTTATCTGAGGGGAATTCCCAGTTAGGAGTGATGTATACTAATTCCCCTTACCCTCCATCTACTCACACCCAGCGCTATGTCATCCAGGGAGGCGCGCATTACGCACTTTGTGCGATATTCGGGCGTGCGAAACTTCTGCATTGATAGCTCCTCCGTCGTAGTTGTCTTCATCAGCGGATGACTTTGGATCAGTTGGCTGAGCTGCTGAAAGTCAGCAGCTCTATATTCCTTGTTCAGCGGCCTGGACATTTTTAATTCTTGTCTAATTTCTCGTATGGTATATTCTATGACTGTTAAAATAGACAACTAAGGGGTATATTGTTGGTGTCCCAATTTATGTTGCAGCCAGTACATGACTTGCTGGTAAAGAAAAGGCGGGTGAAATACATTTTGATTGGGAGTATGAGGGAGAATTAAATTTATAATATGAAGTTGTAGAATATTGAAGATTGGTAATTTTCCCCGCTCGACTCGTATATACTGAAACTACAGGGTATTTACTAGTTACAAACTCTCGCTCGTGGCACTTTTACTTGTTTGTAGTTTAGTTAACATGGAAACGCATCGTTGCCACGCGCCTGTTGCCATACGGCAGTGCCACATATTGTTGCACAGCTGCGCACATAAATATTCATAAGCAAAATAATTTTCATTCACGCAAGCGCAAAATGAATTTAATTTGAAATTGTATCAAGTCGAAGCCTAACTGCCCTAACAATACATATGTAATCGATACCTCAAAATTGCATAATTGATGCGATATAATTGTGGGCGACCACTTATGCAGCTATCGATACTTTAACTATTGTGATTGTAATTAGTTTGCAAATTACACCAAGCTTTGTGCTTTTCGGCGCGTCGCGTGTTTTTAATATATATATTTACATAAATACATATACACATATATTCGTATATGGTTTCGGTCGTTTCTAAACAAAGCGCGTGACTAAGTGATATATAGCTGCTGCAAAAGAATAAAGATTAAAGATAATAATGGCAATTGCATGGTTCACAGACGCGCGCACTGCAGACGAACTGTCTATTGTGAATGGAAAGACTTCCGCGACCCATACGCCATCAACAACAACAACAAGAGAAACAAGTACAAAGCAAAAAGCTTGTGGTATGACCTGTCACAAAAAAAAAAAAAAAACAAAGTTTCGTTTAAAATTTGTATAGCAATTAGACGCATACCAAAGCAATTTACACACACACACACAGACAGCCACATGCATGTGTAGCAATAGAAAGGGTCTTTAATTCCGCCACAGCGCATAGAAGTCAAAGCAAAAGAAGTTGTCTTATGTTAATTTTGCCTTTCTGCTTCGCTACGCTGATTCGCTTAATGAACAGGCCGCAGTCGGAGCAGCGACGCCGGCGTCGTGAGCGCCGGCACAGCAAGTGCAATATGTCAAATAGACAGACGAAGCAGCGAAAAGAAAGACGTTTTCCGCATGGGGGCCAAAAAGCCGCCGCATTGCATGTTGGTCAGCAACAGCAACAACAGTAACGGCTACAGCAAACAGCCACAGCCGCAGCAACAGCAACAGCAACAAATCGCCTTCGTTCACAATATAAACGCGTCAAGCGTAAAGCAATAAATGTGCAAGCGAAAAAGAGAATAAAATAACAGCGTAAAAGTTGCCTTGCGTGCATTATGAACTTTGCACGGGCGAGAGAGCAGGCAAGAAATGCGCCCGCTTGTTACACATTTTTTGGGCAAAAAAAAAATGTATAAACAGAATAACAAATGGCGGACGGCAGCGACGTCGACGTCGACGGCGCACAGTGCTTAAATGGGCAAAGAGTGGCAACGCTGCCAGCAGAACACCCACAATTTGCATTGCTTTCAGCAATCGACACTTAAATATGATATTTATTTAGTTTTGCTTTGGGCATATCATTCCGCAGGCTGGAAAAGCGTTGAATATGGGGTTTAATCAATAAATTTATGGTCACTGGCATTTAATACCAAAGTAAAATATTCAACTATAAAAGTTTTTAATTGGCTGCATTTTACGAGCTTCTAATTGTCCACACCCAGAGCATCATAAACTTTAATAGCTACAAGTTCATCTAGCATATGCACACAGAGTGCAAGAGAGAGAGAGAGAGGGAGAGAGTAACTGTGGGAGATAGGTGGTGGCCTGACCCGTGTCTTTGAACCGTTTTACTCTCATTCAGTGCGCCTTTACACCTGTTTTATGCTTCCACTGGCCCCAATGTGCGTTCAGCGCTGCCAACGCCGACGCAGCAGAAGCAGAAGCAGCAGCAGCAGCAGCAGCGTTGCGCTCATCGCTCGACGTTGGGTGTAACATATTTTCTTTTTTCATTTTTCTGTGTTGGTTTTGTTTTGTTATTTTTTTTTCCGCGCTTTACCGCCGTGCTTTAAGCCCTGTGCTCACAAAGCCGACTTTTATTCGTTAATTAACCGTCGTGCGGCGCAGAAGTGCCCGCTTAACGGAAATCGAAGCTTTTTGCGGAAACTAAAAGCGAGGGCGCTTCAAAGCAAAGTAAAAAACAGTTTTCGATTCTCAGCACAATTGGGCACATAACACAACACCACCTGTGGCAATACTTGACAGGTGCTGTAGCTGTCGCCAACGTCGCTGCCGCCGTCGCCGTCGCCGTTGCTGTCGCTGTCGTCGCCGCTGTTGACGTTGATGTTGTCGCCGTTGTCGCTTTTCACTCTTCTTTTTTCGTCGCAGTTGCATTCGAA